TTGAAACAGCTTGGTCGAAGCGTCTTTAGTCTTCGTAAATCAATTTTGTAAAATATGTTAGAAGCGTATCCCGGAGGGTTTTCCAAGGAGCATACCAATGGAGCCTCAGTTTAAAGCAGATTTACTCAAACCAGAGATATAAAACTACGTAACTGTGTTTTTTTTCTTGAAATACCTAGGAGGAATTGTCCAAATATCAATTTTAAGATGGCCTCAAAAGGACTCACCTCGCAGAATTAAATAATTAAATTACTAATTAATAATTTAATTCAAGTTAGCTCGTGACAACCGTTCGGGTTTTTATTCGTGTGGTTAAATATTCTATTTAGGGGCCTAGGCTAATCAAATTCCAACACAGGTTCCAGTTAAGGCTTTTAATTTAGGCTATCTGCAAATACACATCACAGCACAGTTAAGTAAGACATCCTGAGGGTAATAAGACTTATGCCCACTCCATGTATGATTATTCAGGAGGTTTTGAACCGTTACTAGCTTATTGAATTATTTCCTATACTGTTATCATAGATACTAGCTAAAAAACCCAGAAACGTGTTTCGCCGGTATGCGTCCGCTGCGTGACACGTCTGCGAGGGGTCCCTAACGTCACCTGTTTGCTTTCTGGTTGATACAGCCGTTTTGAAATTTCAGCGTTTCGAACTTTCTTAGAAATTAATTTCTGAACTTGGTGCAAATGAGTATATTCAGGACCTATGCGCACAGATTTAAATGTGATGTACATATTTGAGCCAAATTCCACCAGGCACTGCAGGATAACGCGTCAAATGTACAAGGTGTCAGCAGGCCGATGAGAAATGGTGGGCAACTCTCCAGATATTTCAGTCACGCTTCTGTTTGGGACTACGTTCGTTAACAAATGACAAATAAATTAGTATTCCGCTTGCCCACGTAATTTCAAATTCAAGTATATACGTAAAAGAAAATGTGCAGAAAAAGATATTCCGTTTTCCACACCCTTAAAAGAAAATTATGCCTAACTAAATTTCCTATATGAGGAAAGGAATTTTTCCAATTTAAAAAAAAGGTTTTAATGATGGGAATTTTCAGTATGCATCAATGAGGCTTCACACCACCTTGTAGTGCTTACAGCATTGCCAACATCCACCGCAAAATAGTATGCGTCATATATTACATTACATTTTATAACTTGTTTTACGGGACACAGTTAGGAACTTCTAAATTCAGGTATAACGGCAGACCTCTTTCAAAATTATCCGGAAATTGAGATTTTATTTTTAAAATAAGTAGAGCGTCTATCTTAAAATATGATTTTAAAGAAGACATGATCCCCTAACGCAGATGTATAAGGGCATCTACATGTGTGCTTATTGCTTTTTTAACTTTATGATTTAGTTTTTAAGGGCATCGAGAAAAGTGTCATAATGGTTGATTGGTCGGATTTTGCAGAACATCGCTGTCGCGGGCAGACAAAATGTAACTCGTTCAAGACCCGGCGACCGGGGGTGATTAAACTACCTGAGTGAGGACTATGCCTGCACTTTAAATAATATCGCCACGCTACTCTTAAATATTCTTCTGCCGAGTTAGGGGGCCATATACGTAATCCATACGAAAAAGCCATCGTCAGGGTATACGAGGGCCAAATTTCACGCCAACTACAGGGCTTCAAGACAATCCTGTGGGTCGCAACTTACTTGATTCATGGTTCACGGTCCCATAAACAAGCGAAACGACCTGCCCAATCGGTATTCGGTGCTTAGGTTCAGTTTGGCCAAAGCACGTTACTACTCCGGGAATTCACAAGCGAACGTGTCACTTAATGCCTGCGCCACAGAGCCAGACGGACGTGCAATTATCACGCCCAAATCCACCACGTGTGATTAAAGTTCAGCGGGTCAAGGTCCGCACGCCCCCAGCCATCAAGGAATTAGGACACAAATTGGCAACTATCGTAGACAGCGGGGCAGTCATTAATTGTCGTAGGTCTACAGGGTTTTAGTTTCCTTAGAAATTAATGTCTGTTCTGTATATAGATTAGTATATTCAGGCTCTCTGCGCACAGACTGAAATGTGATGTAAATATTTGGGCCGAAATTCACCAGGCAGTGCAGGATGACCGCGTTAAATGTACAAGCTGTTAGCAGACAGAGAAGAAATGGTGGGGAACTCAGTGATGAGCCGGATCTCTCGCAGCTGCCTCAAGCAGACGCAGAATACCGGCAAAAATACGTGTCTGGGTTCTAAACTAGTACCCGGGTTGCCATTTTGGCACGTAATGTCATATTTTATAACACTGTGTGCCTATTGACAGCTTGTGAATAGTCTTATTGGCAAACAGCTGTTTTCGGTCATTAATCATCAGGCCTTTACAGTGAATGAGTAAAACGGGCAGTTCTGTACAGTGCTTATATCGTTCTTGAGGTGGGGAAGAGGGGCCAATTAGTCATCTCGTCGTTTCCTCGTCTTGTGCATGCCGCACTCAACATGCCGGGAACTTTGGATTATGGCGCGCGTAGAGAGGGGGGCCGTTCTCACGGTCGACTTTATACGCGAGGCGTGCTCTTTGTGGCTGCGAGTAGCGTGGTGTCAAACTGCGTGGCTTCTGGCGGCATGGAATTCTTGTGTGCAGTCGGCCAAGGGAGGGAAATTGCATGCAGCGTCTTTTGATAGCAGAGAGTGGCTTTCGCTAGACAAATTACCACTGCTGTTTGCCAATACGTCTTTTCAATCGTAACCGAAATGGGTATTTTTGCAGAGCTTGTGAACATTATCCGGTTATCTCGCAGTGGCCGATTGACTTTAACCTAAATATGTACATCAAATTCCGTCTGCGCATTTAGGCCTTTCAATATAACAATCTGCAGCCAAGTTCAAAAATGATTTTCTAAGAAAGTTCAAATGCTGTTGGTAAATGTCCCAGCTGCCTCATTATACCTTGGGATTAATCATTTTTTCG